TTCCAGAGTTCATTTCAAGTGTGCTATTTGCATTTTGGAATCTGTTGCTGTCAATCTCAAGATGAGATCAAAGAGCTGTCACTATCAGTGAAGCAAGCCATCATTAGGCTGAAAAAACAAAACAAACCCATCAGAGAGATAGCAAAAACATTAGGCGTGGCCAAAACAACTGTTAGGAACATTCTTAAAAAGAAGGAACGCATCGGTGAGCTCAGCAACACCAAAAGAGCTGGAAGACCATGGAAAACAACTGTGGTGGGTGACCGAATAGAATTTTTTTCCCTGTGAAGAAAAACACCCTTCACAACAGTTGGCCAGATCAAGAACACTCTCCAGGAAGGTAGGTGTATGTGTGTCAAAGTCAACAATCAAGAGAAGACTTCACCAGAGTGAATACAGAGGGTTCACCACAAGATGTAAACCATTGGTGAGCCTCAAAAACAGGAAGGCCAGATTAGAGTTTGCCAAATGACATCTAAAAAAGCCTTCACAGTTCTGGAACAACATCCTATGGACAGATGAGACCAAGATCAACTTGTACCAGAGTGATGGGAAGAGAAGAGTATGGAGAAGAAAAGGAACTGCTCATGATCCTAAGCATACCACCTCATCAGTGAAGCATGGTGGTGGTAGTGTCATGGCGTGGGCATGTATGGCTGCCAATGGAACTGGTTCTCTTGTATTTATTGATGATGTGACTGCTGACAAAAGCAGCAGGATGAATTCTGAAGTGTTTCGGGCAATATTATCTGCTCATATTCAGCCAAATGCTTCACAACTCATTGGACGCCGCTTCACAGTGCAGATGGACAATGACCCAAGGCATACTGAAAAAGCAACCAAAGAGTTTTTTAGGGGAAAGAAGTGGAATGTTATGCAATTGCAAAGTCAATCACCTGACCTGAATCCGATTGAGCATGCATTTCACTTGCTGAAGACAAAACTGAAGGGAAAATGCCCCAAGAACAAGCAGGAACTGAAGACAGTTGCAGTAGAGGCCTGGCAGAGCATCACCAGGGATGAAACCCAGCGTCTGGTGATGTCTATGCATTCCAGACTTCAGGCTGTAATTGACTGCAAAGGATTTGCAACCAAGTATTAAAAAGTGAAAGTTTGATTTATGATTATTATTCTGTCCCATTACTTTTGGTCCCTTGACAAGTGGGGAGGCACATATGCAAACTGTTGTAATTCCTACACCGTTCACCGATTTCGATGTAAATACCCTCAAATTAAAGCTGACAGTCTGCAGTTAAAGCACATCTTGTTTGTTTCATTTCAATTCCATTGTGGTGGTGTATAGAGCCAAAAATGTTAGATTTGTGTCAATGTCCCAATATTTATGGACCTGACTGTATGTTAGCAGAGACCCCGCCGGGGTGGGTGGGTATTTTTCAGTCTTGGTTTAGGCCTTTTCTGCATTGCTGGGAAGATGGCGGCCCAGTGAAAAGTCTGAGAGTCCGACATGGCAAGCTCCCGGCTTATGTTGCCCCGTGTCTGAAAATACTTCGGCAGTGGCAGGTGACAGTGGAGGATATCAGGTCCCTTCCCAGGAAGCTTCTGGGGGAGAGGATTTTGGCTTCTGCTTTCAGTGTGTCACTGGCCTTAAAGGATTGCCCAGGCTCCGTAATGAGGGAGGGATTGCGTTTAATTAACTTGGAGAGAATCCCTTTGAAGTTTAGGGATCAAGCCTGGCTCGCTTTCCATGGAAGGCTCTATGTGAGAGGGAACCTGAAGCACCGCCCTGTGGATGATCGGGATTGTCCTAGAGCAGAGTGTGTGTTGGTAAAGTGGAGTCTATGGACCACTTTCTGCTCCTGTGTCCCTTTAACATAGAGGTGTATAAAAGGATGGGGAGGGTTCTGGGCATCCCCTTTCTCTATCGCATGAGTTATGCAGAGTGGGTGTACGGGGCTTTCCCAGCTCGCTGGGACTTTGATTTGGATACACTTTTTCTAGTTAGTATAGTTGTCCGTTACTTCACATGGAACGCACGGTGTCAGATTACCCTGCGGAAGAAAGTCCTCCCTGTAGAGGTGGTGGTGCACGATATTCTGGGTGAGGTTGGGAAGATTCGGGGTCTTGAGAGGGTCAGAGAGCCTCGGGCAGTCTGGATAAGGGCGTGGAGGAATATCAGACCTGCCTTTGGTGAACTGTCCATCTCTGGGTGAGGGGGTCTTTCCTTATACTGTTCTTTTCACTCCCGTAGTTTTTGTTGATTAAGATCTTTTTTGAAGAAGGGCTGCATGCATAAGGGGGGCGGGGTGGTTTCTTGACCTCACAGGTTTGATGTCTGGTGTAGTGATGTGAGTGGTAGTACGATTTATTTCCCCAATTATGTCATGTTCATTTCTGAGACGTTTGCTTTTGTCTGACAGCAGATTTTGCTATGTTTATTTTCGTTTTGCTGTAAATATATATAATTTTTTTATATTCTGTATAATATTTTATGTTTATTGATTGCGAGACTTTTAATAAAGAAAAATTGGGAAGAATGGACCCTAATAGTGGTGGTCAGAATGTCATCATTACAGAGAGCTAAAAATATAACTGGTGTCATGCCATTCTTTTCGTCAAGTGGTGTTGAACCCAGAATTATGTAGGTGTTGTAAGATGGGAGGTCTGTCAGCAACAGCTCAAAGAAACCCTTGCAACCTCTGGAGGAACCATAGGGTTCTATGGAGCCTTGGTTGAGAATGGCTGGCCTAAGCACTTAAAGGCCCCTTCCAAAACCAAAAAAGCAAAATGTTTGCAACAAGGTGAAATAAAAAAAATCTTTCTCTATTGTATGCAAGGAGTAAAATATTCCATAGAGCAACCAACGCTAACCATTTCAGTCAAGAAAAGACTTTATTCATAGCCCTGATTAAGATCTTTTCTTGACTGAAATGCGTTAGCGTTGGTTGTTCTATGGAATATTTTACTCCTTGAATACAATAAAGAAGACATTTTTTTTTCATTTTGTTGCTGACTTTTTTCTTCTTGTTTTTTTATATCCATACGTGAGTGGATGGAGACTGCTGGTCTATTATGGACTGCATGGTGCCTTCAAACTTTAGCTGGAGAATTTCTAACCAGGTAGCAGCACCTTACCTTTGTCCCTTCCAAAACCACTTTCCCAAACCCTAAAATGACCCTTAGAAATATATGCAGTATATCCCCTCCTTATTTAACTTTCTTTGTCTGAGACTTTTTATAGGCTTGGGCGTTGGTGGCTAAAAGGTCACCTGAAAAATCTTTCATAAGTTTAAACTTTTAGACTGATTAATCAGGTTCCCTGTTAAGCCCGGTCTGTACAGCTTCTCATTAGATTGATTAGAACTACCAAGCATGAATAATCGAGCCAATGTGACTCACAAAACCTAAGGGAACAAGTAGTGCATACAGGGAAGTTGATGTTATATTAAAAAAAAGATGAAAGCAAAAATTATTTTTCTGGGGTCCCACATATATTTCCCAACCCAACCTAAGACCATGGTAATGCATACTCATTCATCTGATAAGTGACCGTACTGCTGAGGTTCTGCTTCTTTGGTCAGAGTTCCCCCCCCCAGCCAACAATAGAACTCTGATTGGCTGAGAGTGCTGCCCTGTCCTCTCCATCTGAGTGCTGCTGTGTAGAAGATTACAGGATGCTAATAGCAACACAGATTAGGTACATATGCTAGATATATGTAAAAATGTTTAAAGTGTTACTAAAACCCACAACAGTAAAATCAGTCTGTATATGAAGTAAAGCATGCTTGTTATACACACTGTGGGGTTAATCGTCCGCATTGTGTAAAAAGACTGTTTTGATCCTGTCTTCTCTGATCCTCCCCTTCTATTCCCAATCCATCTGCTGATAGAACAGAGCCTTGGGGGCAAGCTGCACATGCTCAGTTTAGTGTGTATTTCTAGAGAGGTTTTTTTCCCTTTGGGAGGGTGCATGTGATCAGCACGGGGCCAAACAGCATTTTCCAGACAGAGGGTCAGGGGTTATGCAGCCCCATAGGACAGTGAGAGCAGAATGAAAACTCCTCCTACAAGCTTTAACCAGTGCTCTGTTGAACGCTGATAGAAGTCACAAGATGGCTATGTACTGCTGATGAGAAAAGGTATTTAGCAGTTTATAGTTACTAAAATATTGGCATTTCCATGTTGTGTGTACAGATATGTGGAGAGACAGATATAGTGAATGCAGGGTCCGGGGAGACCAGATATAGTGAATGCAGGGTCCGGGGAGACCAGATATAGTGAATGCAGGGTCCGGGGAGACCGGATATAGTGAATGCAGGATCCGGGAGACCAGATATAGTGAATGCAGGGTCCGGGGAGACCAGATATAGTGAATGCAGGGTCCGGGGGGAGACCAGATATAGTGAATGCAGGGTCCGGAGAGAGAGCGGATATAGTGAATGCAGGGTCCGGGGAAACCAGATATATAGTGAATGCAGGGTCGGGGAAACCAGATATAGTGAATGCAGGGTCCAGGGAGAGCAGATATAGTGAAGTGCAGGGAGAGACCAGATATAGTGAATGCAGGGTCAGGGGAGACCAGATATAGTGAATGCAGGGTCCCAGGGAGACCAGATATAGTGAATGCAGGGTCCAGGGAGACCAGATATAGTGAATGCAGGTTTCGGGGAGACCAGAATATAGTGAATGCAGGGTTCTGGGGAGACCAGATATAGTGAATGCAGGGTCCGGGGATACCAGACATAGTGAATGCAGGGTCCGGGGATACCAGACATAGTGAATGCAGGTTCCGGGAGAGACCAGATATAGTGAATGCAGGGTCCGGGGATACCAGACATAGTGAATGCAGGGTCCGGGGAGACCAGATATAATGAATGCAGGGTCTGGGGAGACCAGATATAGTGAATGCCGGGTCCGGGGAGACCAGATATAGTGAATGCAGGGTCCGGGTAGACCAGATATAGTGAATGCAGGGTCCGGGAGAGCAGATATAGTGAATGCAGGGTCCGAGGAGACCGGATATAGTGAATGCAGGGGTCCGAGGAGACCGGATATAGTGAATGCAGGGTCCAGGGGGGGGGAGACCGGATATAGTGAATGCAGGGTCCGGGGAGACCGGATAAAGTGAATGCAGGGTCCGGGGAGACCGGATATAGTGAATGCAGGAGTCCGGATATAGGAATGCAGGGTCCGGGGAGGATTATAGTGAATTGCAGGGTCCGGGGAGACGTGGGATATAGTGAATGCAGGGTCCGGGGAGACCGGATATAGTGAATGCAGGGTCCGGGGAGACCGGATATAGTGAATGCAGGGTCCGGGGGGAGACCAGATATAGTGAATGCAGGGTCCGGGGAGACCAGATATATAGTGAATGCAGGTCCGGGGAGACCAGATATAGTGAATGCAGGGGTCCGGGGGGGACCAGATATAGTGAATGCAGGGTCTGGGGAGAGACCAGGATATAGTGAATGCAGGGTCCGGGGGAGACCAGATATAGTGAATGCAGGGTCCAGGGTTTAGTAACCCACTTTAATGATTATGTAAAAATTACATAAACTGGAGTAAATTGTGTTTTTCCGGATGTGCCTAGAGTTTCGCTTTAGGGCCTTGTCTCAAGTGACAAAATGAAAGAGAATTCCAAGTACCAGAAGATATAATGAGGAAGGATAAGATGTTTTGCAAATGAAGTATGTTCTAATGAAATGTCAGCCCACGTGATGCACTTTTTAAATTTTGTTTTTCATTTTCTGAAGTGCAAAGGTAAATACACAATTTAAAGGACAACTCCATTCCAATACATAGCCTAAAAACAAACACAGGAATTCTAATTACCAGCCAAATGATTTGTAAATGTGCCTACTCCCCCTTTCCTGATGAGCTATATGGCTGAGGACCATGAGGGAGATGGTCTTACAAGGCTTGCAATTCTGCTGTCTTCATGCTACCACCTCTGCCTGTTCTTCATCTACTAATAAATCTTACGTCCTTGGTGACAGCACCCCATAGCGCTTTATGTCCTTTAACCCACCTTTTCCATTTATCAGAACAGGCACTCCTACTGCTAGTCTGTTTTTAACTTTCATCTCATGTAGCAGTTCAGTATTAAATTACATTTCAGGGAATTACTTTGGCTGAGTTGCAAAAAAAAAAAATATTTAATGACTTCAAAAGTACATGGAGCAAACCCTACCTGAGTGACATCTAATTTGCTAAAGAACTCATAAAAAATTGTAATCCTCTTTTAATGGGCAGCACAGTGGCTAAATGGTTACCACTTCCGCCTGGCAGTACTTGGGGTCGTGCTGGTTCAAATCCCAACCACAGCACCACCTGCCTGGAGTTTGCATGTTCTCCCCTGTGCCTGCATGGGTTTTCTCTGGGTACTCCAGTTTCCTCCCACACTCCAGAGACATACTGGTAGGTGAATTGGCTCCTGTCTAAATTGTCCCTAGTATGTGTATGTATGAATGTGAGTTAGGGACCTTAGATTGTACACCCCTTGAGGGTTAGGGACTGATGTAATGTACAATATATATGTAAAGTGCTGCGTAAATTGACGGCGCTATACAAGTACCCGAAATAAATAAATAATAAAATACTTTCACGCTTTTTGCATTCTATGTTGCATATCGGTATTGCCAATCTCGTACAGCCTCTCCCTGCTTACATACACTCCAGTAATTGCTGCGTGGCATTTCTTGGGGCAAGTATCCTTATGGTGATATCAGTCTATCAGAATACTTGAAATGGCGTGACTACGTGCTGACCAATCAGCACCTTTTATGATAGGTATTCACTCCAGCACTGTATACTGCAACGTATGAACTGCTGCACTGGTAGCACAGGCCTCTATATGCAGCGGGTCTGAAGGGTTGGTCAGGATATTTGGAATTTGTTCACATTTTCGTTTTTTCGTGAAAAATGTGATCTTAGTCTTCAGGGCAGGGATCTCCAAACTATGGCCCATGGGCCACATCCAACCCACTACAAGATTTTATCTGCCCCCCAGCTAGGGTCAGTGTCATATTCGCAGTGTGCACTTATTGAGAAATTAGGTCAGCAAAGGCTGCCTATGGTCTCTGATTCTTTAATAAGGGAGGACACTGATGGAGAACCTAATATAAGAGGGCACTTTGATGGGGAACCTGATGTAAGAGGGGACTCAGATGGGGAAACCTGATGTCAGGATGGACTTGGATAGGAAACCTGATGTAAGGGTGGGCTCTGATGTAAAGGGGGCTCTGATGTAAGGATGGCTCTGATGTAAGGGGGGCTCTGATGTAAGGGTGGGCTCTGATGGGAACTCTGATGTAAGGGGGACTCTGACAGGGACTTTAATGTAAGGGGGACTCTGATGGGAATTTTTTTCAGCCAGCAAATATTTGCACAGATTGAGAATGAAGGGCAGCAGAGGCCTCTTTTGGTCTCCGTTTCTGATGTGGGGGGAAAATTTGATTGGGACCTTGATGTAAGGGGGGGGGGGACTCTAATAAGGACCCTAATATATGGGGGGATTCTCATGAGAGACCTGATGTAAGGTGGGCTGTGATGTGGACCCTGTTGTAAGGTGGATTCTGATGGGGACCCTGATGTGAGAGGGGACTCGAATGGGGAACCTTATGTAAGGGGAGAATCAGATGGGGAACCTGATGTAAAGGGGAACTCAGATGGGGAACCTGATGTAAGGGGGGACTCAGATTGGGGACCTGATATAGGAGGGCACTCTGATGTGGAACCTGTTGTAAGGGGTGACTCAGATGGGGAATCTGACATAAGGGGGACTCAGATGGGGAACCCAATGTAAGGGGGCACTCAGAAGAGGAATCTGATGTAAGGGGTGACTCAGATGGGGAACCTAATGCAAGAGGGCACTCAGATGGGAACCCAATATAAGGGGACCCTCAGATGGGAAACCTGATATAAGGGGTGACTCAGATGGGGAACCTGATGTAAGGGGACACTCTGATGTGGAACCTGGTGTAAGGGGGGACTCAGATGGGGAATCTGATGTAAGGGGGGACTCAGATGGGAAATCAAGAAACCCTTTGTCTGCAACACAACCAGTGTGACGAAAAGAAATTTATGATGACATAATCCTTCAAAGGAGTGCCTCGGCGCCCATACATTCGTTTCCCAGCCAGGGGCGGACTGACCATTTGGAAACTCGGGCACTGCCCGAGGGCCCGGGGTCAGTAGGGGGCCCCATGAGATGCCCCTAGTACCTTTTTCATAGGCTTTTTTTAGTTTTCGCAAGGACACAGGGGCCCCATGATCCCCTATTGCCCGGGAGCCCCATGAGTTGTCAGTCCGCCCCTGTTCCCAGCACACACAACTTTGCCATGAGGCTATTAAGAAGCTATGAGCCTCTCCGGTAATACCAGGAATCCTGCCAGCCACAGCTGCTATTTAACAGGAGCCGCTCTCCGAGGTGCTGAAAGGGAGCTCAGTATGGAACCCATAAATACTGACACATATATAGTGCTGGTCTAAGGGGGATCTCTGTGAATTTTCTCTCCTACTGCGCTGCCATACTAATGGATTCATCAACTGCATCCTCTCTGACAAATTAGATGGAAATTACAGATTAGCAATTATGTGTTTTGCTGCCTTTCTCCATAGAGATGAGGAAGAATAGAGACTGCTTCTCCTGTAATGCACTGCACATATCAAAATACACAATATGCAGTGTAATTACACCGGGATAGCTCGCCTTTTCCCATTGCGTAACAGATATTCGCGTAATATGGCGCCAATATACCTTTATTTATAATAATAGAAAAATCTTTCAACTGGTACATTTATAGGAAGGCAAGCAGCCGATGCTAGACCAAGAGAAAATTGCAGGGAAGGTGGTGCTGACGCATTTAGCATCCAGAAATATTCCTTAACCAATTCACGTCCGGGGGGCAATTTTTTAATTTTACACACACAATAAACAGGCATATCTGAAAGCAAATGCCTCATACAAACAAATGGTGGCACTTTCGATTTCTTACGTCGCACAATATTTGCACGGCTTTATATCAAATGCATATTTTCAAGGGAAAAATACACTAAAATAAATGTTAGTGCCAACAAACACAATGTTATACCCAGTTTTTGGTAAAATATATAGTTACATAGTATACTCGGTTATATAAAATACATAGTTACAATGTATACCCAGTTTTTGGTAAAATATGGCATTTTTTTGAGTAATTTGATACCGAACATACCAAGCTTTAGGGTTCATGTACACTGCAGCTCCTAAACTGACGCTCAGGAGCTGTTCGGTGTTTTTTTCAGCAGCCCCTGAACTCTCCCTAACCCCTTCCCACCGGCGCCTCCCGGACACTAGCGTTGTGTGCAGGCGGCAGAGAGGCGTTTGGGAAGCGTTTTTACCGCTTCCCAAACGCTTCGGACAATTCTGCACATTGCAGCACATGGTGCTGTTCTAACGGGAAGGATAGCGTCGCGGCAAAACGGACGCCTCTGGTCGAGTCAGGAGGCGTTGAAGCCTCCTATTCTAGTCTATGGTGACGCTCCGCAAACGCCCGGCCGGCGTTTGCAGCCTGGTTGCGACGCGGTTGTGGGGCATTTGCGAAGCGGTAACACTTTAAACTTCATTATAGGCGTTTGCTCAGCAAACGCCTAGCAACTGCGCCTGCGGCATTTGCGGAGCGTTTGCCAAATGTTAAAAAATGCTCAGCAAACGCCGGACCAACGCTTGCCAAATGCTATAGGGGTGTTTGGCAAGCGTTGGTAAAACAGTCAAGTGTGAACGAGCCATAAGAGTTTCAGAAGCTGGGAGGTGGAACGGGCGGGGTTTAGGGATCATGTGACTGCCGTGACGCGTCATCACGGTGGTCACATGATCGGGAAAGTCCCCAATCGAAAGAGTAGACTGGGACCTTTCCGTGAGTACCGGACATGTGTGCTGGGAGCGCGCAGGGTGCGCGCTCTCAGCACATATGTTTTTTGTTAATTGCACGCAAATGTGCGGCCCGCTCGGCATCTAGGCCCAGACACCGGGAGGCCGCACATTTGTGTGCAGCCGGCGTGAAGAGGCTAATGTTTTCCTATGTGTCAATGTACACATCATCGTTTACAGGCAGTTGAGTTTACAGTTGTTATTTTGAATGCACCGAACTTGCATTCAGGGGTGGATTTTATCGGCATTTCAAACTCCAAATGCGTGTAAACGCGGTTAGCTGCGTTTTAAAAGCGTTTGCGTGTAGAAGCGTTTTTAACTGTTCCATGTCCAGAGCCTTTTTTCATCATCAGAAATGCATGCAGAGCGTTTTCCATGTATTCCAATGGACCCGGTACACCAGCGCAGTCAGTTCCAGGTTTCGCGTGAAGGAAAAAAAAAATGGTAGAACACGCCTCATTATGCTCATGATGAGATCCATAGTGAATACAACCAGAAAAGACAGGTCATCTCAACACATACTGCTCTCTCTGCTTCTGCTCTCTCTATTTCTCTAAAAATGTCTGAAATAGTACATTTTTTACTATTTTTCAGGGCATTCTGGGCATTTGGGAAGGTCTCCTGAGGATATCTTTTAAAAATGCTTCTAAATGCAAACGCACATAAACGCGATATGCAAACGCGGCTAAACTGATGTTTTTTAACCTACGTTTTACAGCAGTCAGTTTCCATCATTCAGAAGAGTTTTCCAAATGCCC